CAGCTTGGTCTCCATAGTGAGTTCCAGGTCAGCTAGAGCTATAGGGAGACCCTGTCTCAAAAAGACCAAAAAAAAAAATAAATAAATAAAAATTAAACACACTTTACAATCCATTTCTCTGCTACACTAAATCCATTGAAATGGGCTCAATAGCCACGTTTGGCTAACAGCTACCATACTGGACAGTGTAGATATGGGACATTTCTCATGAAATGGGGTTCTATTGGGCATCGGGCAGCATCACCTTAGGACATTCAGAGGCAAAGAGACACGTTTCTCACCCCCTGAAGCCATGTTTGATGGATGGGTGTCCCGTCCTCCACCCTCAGGCTCCCTGAAGAGAAACCAGCACCTGGGCCCCAGTGACATCTACCTGGATGACTTGTCCTCCTTGGACTCTGAGAATGCTGCCCTTTACTTCCCTCAGAGGTGCCTGGGCTCGGGGTGACAGGGAGTCTTGGGATTGGGGCCTGTGGAGCCAAAGGTCTACTATCAAGGGCCTGGATGGAGTGGGGAGCTGCCTCCTACTTCCTTGTATTTATATCATTGCTGACCCCTTTGTCCTCAGTGACTGTGGGATGGGGGCCAGGAGGTGGAGTGAGCCCACCAGCCAGAAGCTCCTGGGGAATCCCATCCCTGAACACATACCAGAATCTACTCTAGACTCAATGGACACAATAGCATTGTCCCTCTGTGGTGGACTGGCTGACAGCCGGGACATCTCTCTAGGTATGTTTGACCATGACCCCAGGTCTTCCAAGGATTAGTGCAGAGTCAGGAGCCAGGGAAAGTTGTAGAAGGTACTCAGGGGTCAGAGAAGGAGTGAAGACTCCCAGGGACCAAAGGAGGGTGAGGAGGACCCCCAGGGGTCAGAGGAGGATGGAGAAGATACCTGGGAAACATGGGAGGACAGAGGTGATCCCTAGGGGTTAGAGAAGGACAGGGAAGGTAGGGAAGACTCTTGAAGGTAGGACAGCACAGATGTGAAGCTGGACTGGGCTTCCTGCTACTATCTGACCTGTGGTGCCCACTCTCAACCCATGTCCTTGTGACTCAAATGCTTGATGCTAAGCCTTGATTTATCTTGAGTTCCTGGGGTGGGAACAGATGCAAAAACCTCAGAAAGGGAGGAATGTTCCCAGGTCAAAGGCTTAGCTAACAGGCAGCATGATAGGGCAGTGGATCATGTGGGATGTGGCAGCCTCACCTCCTCACTCTCTGCCTCTGTGCCCAGAGAAGTTCAGCCAGCGCATGGTTTCCTATGAGGACCTCACTAAAAACCCTGGGCTTGTGGATGACCCAAACCTTGTGGTAAAAATCAATGAAAAGTGAGTATTTGGAAAGGGGTTGCTGGTGGCCTAAGAGTCACCCACCCTCCACACCTCAGAGCTGATGTAGTTTTGACACCCCTATTCTGTCTCTCCAGGCACTATAACTGGGCTGTGGCTGCCCCCATGATCCTTTCCCTGCAAGCCTTCCAGAAGAACTTGCCTGAGGTAATACTTAGACCACTACTGGGGCCATAGCCTTGAAGTCAAGGGAGTAGATGGCAAGTAGAGATGTGTCAGGAGCTTGGGCTCCTGGCTCCTGAACCCACTCTGAGGCAGGAGACAGAGGTCCTCAAAGCCTTGCCCATCCTGTGAGGTCAGGCCCATTGTTCCCAGGATTCTCAGCCATGGCTGGATCCTCTTGAGTTTGGACTTTACATCAAAGGAACTCCGGACAAATCAGAGGGAGACGAATATCCCACAGATGCCCAAACTGAGACAAACCTTCAACAGGAGGGTTTTGGATCTGAAAGACTGAGGCCTGGGAGATGGGGTCTCATCCTGCCTCTCCCTCCATGCTGAGGGGTGCTCCATGGGCTGAGGGGTGCTAACTCCCTTGATCAGCCCACATCTGTTTGGTACCTACTATGTGCCATGACCAGAATGAGTTATGAGGGAAAACAAAAAATCGTTCCCATCCTCTAGGAAGGCAGAGTTGATCAAAGCCTCTGCCAGATGAGCATCAGATTAAACTGAGTAGAGGGAAGGGGTGGACTGGGTGCTCTGTTTGCTGAAGGAGTGCCCACTGGTCTGACTGACTGGTGACTGCCCTGAGCAAGTCAGACACGGAACAGCATGTATAGATGCTCACTCAGATGGGGCAAGGGAGCCAGACTCGTTATTTCTTCCCAGAACCTCCACCTGGCCCTCTGGAGCTACCTACCCTCTCTCAGGTATCAATACCTTCTTTGGCAGTGGCAGTCTGTGACTCTACCTGTCCTTTCTGCCCTCTAGGAGCCATCCAGGGCCCAAGTCTGGTCTGCCTCATTGTTCCTAGCACTGTTAGGCTTACTCAAACCTTGTCAACACTAGGTGTTGACAGCTTCTCTTTGGTGACATCTGGCTCTATCACGTGGTTGCCTGTGGGTTTGAGCTAGGACCCAGTGCCTATGGGGAGGAAGATAGTCACCCGTTTGTTTGGTTCTTCATCTTACCCAGACACACCGACCACTTGAGGTCTTTGAGAGACGCCCGCCCCCACCCCATCCAAGTCTGTTGGACCCTGGCTGGGCAACTTCAAGCTCATGTTCTTCTGATTTGGGTTTCCTAGTCTGCATCCGTAGGGTGATGTGTCATCTAGGTGGGCCTTGCTCTGGACTTTCCCTGGGGTTATCTAGCACATATCTAATCAGCATTATTTCCCAAGGTCATGATACTGCAGTCAGACAGGGATGGGAATACACAGAGAAGGACAGATTACTGTTTATGGGATAGAATCACCAACCTCAGGAAGTTGTCTGTGTCTGTCTTCAGGACTGAAGGGTATCCTGGCTACAGACTGTCTCTGCTGTCATGTCGTAGCATCATGCATGGAGTACTATAGTTCTTGAGAAACTTCCAAAGCAGTATGATCGTCAGTCACTCCAGTAGGGCACTGAGTCATGAGATTTGGAGACTGGGCTAGAGCCAGGGGTTCAGGCTCCAAACAGGAATGGCCCTGGGTCTCTAGTGCAGAGCTCTATGGGTCATTTCTTAGGATCTTAGGAGGAAGGGTGAGCATGCTTCTTCCAGAGGCTGACAGCACCTTGTTTTAGGGTGGGCTGAGACTCTAAGCTCATGGGGTTCCCAAAGGCAACATACAGTAGGTTTGTGGGGTACAGAAAGAACTCCTGTGACCATTATCTGCTCACAGAGCACCGTGGACAAGCTGGAGAAGGAGAAGATGCCCCGGAAGGGTGGGCGGTGGTGGTTTTCTGGCTGGCGACGCAGAGACTTCCCACCTGAGGAGGTGGGTCATCAGTGGTTACCGGGCAGGGCCAGCACACGGCAGAAGGTGGGGTTCACTGATGGATATTCTTCCTACAGCACAGTACCCAGAGGGAGAAAACTTCAGCCAGGGAGCAGCAGAGGTGAGTTGGGTCTGCTGGTGGGGTTCAGTACCGAAGCCTGGGGAAGATCACTGGGGAGGACAGGAAGGGAACGGTGGTATCAGAACCCCATCCCCAGAAATGGTGGTCATCACTCACCAAGACTTTATTTTCCTAAGAACTGTCCCCACTTCCCAGATAGGAAAACTGAGACCTAGAGACAGGCCAAGTGTTCCTCAGGCAGGAAATGGCAAAGCTGAACAGGTGTGCAAACTCTTAGACTGGACGAGAGGCTGTTGTGTTAAGGGCCTCTCCCCTGGCACACAGGTACCTGCACACTTGGCCTGCTTTTTTGTTGTTGTTTGTTTCTTACCTTGGAAGTGACCCAGCCATCAAAGCTCAGGTGGAAGATGACTAATGATGGGCCAGCTCAAACTAAATCAAGAAGGGCTGGGACAAAGTCCCAGGATATGTGCTTGCAAAAAATTTCTAGGGCAGGTCCTACAGGCAACTGGCTAGGCGACCACTGTCACCTCTCTGGGTGGATTCCCCACATAAGTAGCACCCAGAGGAAGAATAGCCTCTGGGGTGACAGGCACGGGCCCCAGGTTGCGCATGCCCCTGGCCAAGGATAAGCACCTACTTCAAGAGGAGGGGGCCCAAACTCCAGCAATGCCCACAGAGAGAAGACAGAAGTGCTGAGCAGTGAAGACGATGGCCCAGACAGCCCTGTGATCCTTGAGGTTCCCTCCCTCCAATCCTCCCCTCCAGCCTTCATTCCTACCTACAAGAAGTCCCTCCGCCTCTCTTCTGATCAGATTGTGAGTGTGTACACATGTTCCCATGTGAAAAGGGTATGGCTGGGTTAATTCTGAGTCTCTCAGGGCTCAGCTGAGATGTGGGTCACCATAGACTAGAATCCACCCCTGATGGCCTCTACTTGAATACCTCTGGGGGCCTCACTTCTTCACATGCCAGCCCATTTTTCTGTGAGAAGCTCTAAAGTCCTCTCATGTCTTGAAATATCTCCCTGCTGTGAGGCAGCTGGATCTGCCTTTGGAAGTCACACCGAAGGCATCAGCATTTAACAACAGACCCTGAGATTTTTGACAACTCCAGTCCTTCAGTGTATGGGTGGCTCTCACAAAAAGAACATTTTCTTTTTGAGTGTGGTTCCATGGTCAGGAAGGCTTCAAGGAGGGTTTGACTAGCCTGGTTCAGAGCAGCAGCCATCTGTCTGGTATCCTAGGGCTCATGTCCACTTCATAATCAGTCAAGACATGGAGGACACCTGGCTATGGTGGAAAGCAATCCCCATCCTTCTCTGTGTCACATTCAGGGCTAAGTCTCTGTTTATGGAATGAGTCAGGCATTCTGGCTCCAAAAAAGGGCTTCCTGTGGTGATCCTATAGGGTCCCATCTTTGAGGTGGGATGTCTCTTGCCAAGACCAGGCCTTACTGTGGGGCTGACCTAGAAACCTGGGCAGGGCACCACAGGCATGGTTACTCTTGTATTGGCATACTGAAAGGAGGTCAGGGCTCCTGTGCTTGGCACTGTACAGGGCCCTGTGCAACACAGATGCCTTCTACCAGTGTAGACATGTTTATGTGTGACTATTGTCTGATATTTAGGGAAGGGTCTCTGAGCTGAGAGGAAGAAGAGAACCAAAAGCCACAGTTTAAGTAGAAGGGTAGACAATGTCTGGCCATGGGGGATCATAACACCTTCACCTTTGTCTGTCCCCAGCGGTGTCTGAACCTGCATGAAGGTGCCAACGATGTGGTTTTCAGTGTGACTACCCAGTACCAGGGCACCTGCCGCTGCAAAGCTACCATCTACCTGTGGAAATGGGACGACAAGGTGGTCATCTCTGACATAGATGGCACCATCACCAAGTGAGGCCTGGCTGGCTGTGGGGAGCATGGGGAGTGCTCGGGACTTTCTTCCCTCTGTGCCGGGTGGGTAGAGTGGCTCTTCCAGGTGGGCCATCCTAGGGACGGGGTCCTATTGGGTCACACTTATGGAACACAAGAGCCATGTGGGATAGCCTGAGTGACCCTTTTTCCTGACTATAGGTCGGACGCTCTGGGCCACATTTTGCCCCAGCTAGGGAAAGACTGGACACACCAGGGCATCACTAGTCTCTACCACAACATTCACCTGTGAGTGCTCGGCTGTGGCTGATCCAAGGCCCCTAGCAGGAGGGAGGGAATCACAGAATGTCTTGGGCCACCCTGATTTCTGCCCTAGGAAGCCAGTGTTGGGAACCAGCAGGGCCCACGAGGGAAGTAGCCTGGAAAAATAAGCACTGAGACCTTCTCAGTCCTTAGTTCTCTCAGTTGTCTATCTGCTGACCTCAAGCTAGCAGGAGGCCTCTGTCTTGGCCCACAGAACTGTGTCTGTGCCTACAGCTGGGACAGCTACTGAGAGCATCTCTCAAAAGCTTTCCCGAGTCCCCTTCCTGCAAAGCCCTCTGGGTTAGAAGGCCAGAGCCCAAGTTGAGCTGGGATGAAGAAACCAATGGGGCATTAGGAATGGCTAGTCTTTGAGGCTCTGTCTCCCACCCCTAGAAATGGATACAAGTTCCTGTACTGCTCAGCACGAGCTATCGGAATGGCTGACCTCACCAAGGGGTACCTGCAGTGGGTGAGCGAGCGTGGATGTGGCCTTCCCAAGGGCCCTATCCTACTGTCTCCCAGCAGCCTCTTCTCTGCCCTCCACAGGTAACTACCCTCACACAGAAGCCCACAGCCCCTGTGGGGGGCGGCAAGAGCACTGCCAGCCCAGCCCACACTTTATGGGTATCAGCCGGGGTGGCTCAGACCTCATGTCACCTGACCCTCTGCTGACTGGCGGTCTTTTCTTCACCTTCTTCCCTGTCTGTGCACATGGTCACCCCACCCCAGGGAAGTGATTGAGAAAAAACCAGAGGTGTTCAAGGTTGCCTGCCTGAGTGACATTCAGCAGCTGTTTCTGCCCTACGGACATCCCTTTTATGCTGCCTTTGGGAACAGGCCCAATGTAAGTGTCCCCCTCATCACAGCTCCTCCCTGCCCCCAGCAGTGTCAAACCTACTACCCTTGTCCTCTGTCCCTTGCAGGATGTCTTTGCCTACAGGCAGGTGGGCCTCCCTGAATCTCGCATCTTCACAGTCAACCCCCGGGGAGAGCTCATTCAGGAGCTCATGAAGAATCACAAATCCACGTGAGGCCACATGTCCCATGTCCTGCCATGTCCCCATGTCCGGCCCCTCCCATGACCCCAATTTTACCTCCTTCCTTGGAGGAAGGATCCTGGTGGGATGCTGAGTCTCCACCAGTTGTGGAGAAGGCCGCTGCCCAGTAGCAACTCAGGCTTAGTGCAACCCATTCCGCCCATAGGTATGAGCGTCTCGGAGAGGTGGTTGAGCTCCTCTTCCCACCTGTGGTCCGTGGCCCCAGCACAGACCTGGCCAACCCTGAATACAGCAACTTCTGCTACTGGCGGGAGCCACTGCCAGCCGTGGATCTTGATGCCCTGGCTTGAGCCTGCCCTAGCTGTCCCTGTCCTTGGCCTGGCCCAGGACTAATGGGCTTCTGGGGAAGCTAAGTGTCATGGGACCAACTCAATAAAGAGGCTACAGGTTAGCTGGCAACCAGACATCGTCCCTCCTCCTTGAAACACAGTGCTATGATCGTCAATGTGACTACCCAGCACCAGGGTACCTGCCACTGCAAGTCTACCATCTACCTGTGGAAATGCAACAAGGTGGCCATCATCTCTGATAGTATCACCAAGTGAGACTCAGATGGCTGTGGTGACCCCAGGGAGTGCCTGGGGACTTACCTCCCTGCCAGGGATGGGGCAGCTATCCCAGGCCTCAGTACAGCTCTGATCTCCAACAATTAAATGTGTCACTAGGCCCCTGCAGGATCCTCTATGTCCTAGATGTGTCTGTCCCTGCCACCCTGGGGCCTTGCCTCAGTTCCTGTTAGGACAGAGAAGATGGAAGCCTCTCGAAGACTTGAGACTTAGATGCACAGGGAAGGAGGTCAGCAGCATTAGCAGGGGACTGAATGGCATCTGGGAACACAGTGCTTCCCTGTCCCTTTCTGGGAGTCCAGACTATCCTCCAAAGCCATGTTTACATAGCCCTGCTGCTGTGCATAGCTCCTGGGTCAGGCATTGCTTCTTCCCCAAGCCTGGATGCTCCAGAGCCTCTCTGACATGAGGAAACAGATTTGAGGGTCATGTAAGGGCCATGTTATATGGCTCCTATTGCCCCATCCCTACTAGTCCACTGCCTATTCTGTTCCTGGTGCTTTCCTTGAGAGTCAGCCCCAACTGTGGCTACAGCAAATGGCGTTTGCTGACCATCCAACCCTGGCTTCTGCTGGTCAGTCTAGTGCCCAGCTTGCTGAGTGAGCTCATCCACAGTGTTGTGGGACATTGGACTCCTTCAGCTTTCCCTCCCACTGCCACTAATGAAGAAAGCTCTCTGAGCCTGGCTGAAAGCTTTAATCTACAACCTGTCCGCCAACAGTGTTAAGAGGGCGAACTAACGTCCACAAACTAGAATACAGGGCTGTGGGGACCCACAAGCAGCATCCCCCCAGGCCACTGTGGGAAAAACAGACTGGGAGCCTCAGCAGAGATGGTCAGTCTCTGAGGAACACTTGTATTTTCCCATTGTTGCTTGATGGTTTCCTACCTGAACTTCTCAAGAGCTTGCGAACATCCTGGCAGGGCTGGGGTTTTATAAGAGTGTTAAAAAGCCAGGCTTTGATCCCTTTTCAGCTACAGCCCCTTTTTTGGGGTGTGGTCTCATTAGACGCTAAGGCTGCTCTTAGCAAGAAGTACTGATCTGGGTAGTGAAAAGAGACTCCTTTAACTGAAAAGAGGATCATGTGGGCATATTTGGGGAAGGAAAAAGGTCAGATTGGGGTGGAGTCTCCAAGCAGATTGCTTGGATCTAGTTCTTTGGGAGTCTACAGCTGCCTGTGGCCTCACCATGAGGGAGGATCAGAAGGTATAAAGAGAACTCGGCAGAGTCTCTGTGATTTTGTTCTGTGCCGAAGGATGTGTGGGGAGCTGGAAGCCTCAGTGGCCTCTGGTCTTTGGTTTAGAAATAGCACCCATTAAGCTGCCAGGTGTGAGCCCAGGTCCAGTGGCCATCACCTTCCTGAAGAAAGCTTATCCAGATGTCTAAGGACAGACGCAAAGGGGCAAGGGAATGGATGGCTCCAAGTGCTGCGACTGTCCCTGGCGGGCAAAGGAAGCTGCGGACAGACTTGTCTGAGAGTTGGCCTGAAGACCTGTGCACAGTTGCTAATTCCAGTGCATCTGCAACAAGAGCAAGTACAGACTGTGCAGCGGGCCATCTCAAAAGTCCGTCTTGGCCTTGAGTCACGATGTCCATGCTTTGACTCTCTTGAGACAGCATCTCATGTAGCTTGCCTTGACTCTTATCCTGAATCATCCAGCATCGAGGGTGACTTCTGACGCTGAGCTGGACCAAGACTATTCATCCAATGACCTCTGGACTGGCCATGGAAGGCTGGAAGGCTAGGTGGATAGGGTTGGGCTCTGGGCTAACATTCCCAGGGTTGGTGGGATATGGGCTTAGATTCTTTCCCAGCCTACCTAGTCAGCTCGCCCTGGCCTCACCTTGGCCAGCTGGGCTCGGTAGTCCAGCAGGTCTTCTTGGAGTTGGGCAATATCTTGTGTGTGCTGGGCTAGTGTGTGATTCAGCTGGTCTATGTGGCCCCACAGGCCTTCCCTGGACCTAAGCTGATCAGTGGGCAAGCTGTCCAGGTGGGCAGCCAATAGGCCCAGCCTCTCACATGCACCCTCTACCTGTGCTACCCGTTGGTCAAAGTAGCCCACCGTACGCTGGAGTTCCCGGGCTGTGTCCCGGCAGCGGCTCAACCCTCCAGCCACATTAGCCACACCAGCTTTGAGCTGCTCCAGCTCCCCGCGCAAGTTCAGGACCTGCCTGTGGCCAGCTCGAAGCCTTGAGCCTTGACTGCTGACCTGCTCTTGGATGGCGTGGACTTCAGCTTCTACCTTGCGTTCTCGCTCATCCAGGGATGTGTTGGCGGCCAAGAAGGCATCTGAGTACTGGAGGACGGAGTCACTGAGGCCTGTGAGTGACTTGCTCACCGAGTTCAAGTTGACCTTCAATAGCGTGATCTCACCTTGGAGTGAGCTGCCTGTCCCTTCTGCCAGCTGCCCCTGAACTTCAGCCACAGTGCCATTGAGCTGCTGGAGCAGAGCAGTGTGACCGGCCACCTGGCGTAGGAGGGCCTCACTCCGGCTCTGCCAGGTCTTCACCTCTGCCACAAGGTTGTCCAAGATGTCTGAGGTGGTACTGGGGGTGCATGAGGTCTCCAGGGAGACCAGCCGTTGTTCCAACACGGCCAGCTCTGTCTGCACAAGGGGTCGTGCTGACCTACTTGGTGTGGCGCTATCGTGGCTTAGCTCTCCGGCCAGTGTCGCCAGACGCTCCTCTAGGCTCTGCACACGCTCTTCCAGCATGGACCCAAAGCCCCCCACACCCCAGCTCCCCATTTCCATCCTCAGACAGCAGCCCCTTGCTCCATCCTCTGTCCCATTGATGGTCTCTAGGCCCTCAAGCAGCCCATCCACACCCCCCTGGAGCATGGCAGCAGACAGGCGTGCAAGCTCATCTGCAGCTAGGGTGCTAGGGCCACCTTGGGCCTCAGTGACAGCCTGCAGGCTCCTCTCAAGACTGTCCATACGGGCACCAATCAAGGCCAGCTGGCTGCAGCAGCCACTCCCACCTGCCAAACTCAGGCCCTGCAGCTGAGTGCCCAGCTGTGAGAGCTCCCGACGCAGGGCCAGCTCCCGCCCATCGAGGCTCTGGTGCAGCCGCTGGCTGGCCGCCTGACCCTCCTCACACTGCTGCCGTACCTCCTGCACTCGCAGGTCACACTCACTCTGGACACCTTGCAGCTTCTGCTCAAAGCCATCCAGCAGGCTCCCCCAGAGTCGCTGCAGCCGCTGGTCCACATACTCCTCAAGCAGTGCCAGGGAGGTCAGGGGAGACGGCCGGGCTTCCTGCAGTCGTTGCAGGTGGGCCTCGTGACTGAGGGCCATTCCATGCACCTCATCCAGCAGTTGCACTTTGGTCCTCAGCGTGTTGCTCACTTCTGTCAGCTTGCCCAGTACCTCACCCAGGGGGGTTGTCAGTGGTCCTCTGTCTCTGTCTTCTGGGTTCACAAGCCCCTCAGGGATGACCCCAAAGTCTATGGGCGCAGCGGGAGCCCTGGGGTCACCAGTGATCCTATTGGGATCCTCATGGCTGGCCACCAAACCACTCAGAGTACCATATGCTTGTGACAGGCGTTGAACATCACTCTCCAGCTGTTCCAGCCGCTCACCAAACAGTCCTGGGCCTTTTCTTCCTGAGAAGAGGAAACACCCCAGGAGCATCATGGGCCTGGCCCTGGCAGCGTGTCATGTTCAAGCCCACCTGAGAGGCTTTCTGTCTTCGCTGGACACAGCTGGCTCACCTTTGTGAGAAGGGTCTGGGTAGGGGAGGCTGGGGACTAACTGTCATGCCCCATGTGAAATGTACCCTCCCCAGTTCTAGAGCTCAGCCATCTGAGGTCAGTCCCTTCCCTGTCCAGCCACTAAACTAAAGAAACCTGACCCCCTTGGAGGATATCTGCAGGCAGACTCACCATGGGCAGTTGTAGCCTCTCGACTATAAGGAGGAGGCCTGAGGCCTGGGCCCAGCTGCCCCAAGGGAATCTGGGATTCTGGCTCTTGGTGGGGTGGGGTGGTTCCATGGTCCGTGAGGTGTTCAGGGCAGCCTTCTCCAGTAAGACCAGGGCAGCAACGCCAGGCAAGGTCTGTTACAGTCTTGTAGCCAATCTTGTATCTGGGTCTAAGCACTGAGCGATACCTAGATCAGAAAGGGCAAGAGAGCAGGGCCTTGTACCTTTGGGCTGAGATTCCTGCCCCCTAGCTGGCATTCCCAGGGGTTTCCTTTTCTGATCGTTAAGGTAACAAAACCATGGGTAAGGTGGGCTTTGCAGGGACTCTGAGCCCCAGGAGTAGAGGCTACATGACAAAGCCCCACTCAATCCTGCTGCCCTAGGGAACATTTGCAGGGATTTAGCTCCAACTCTCTCAAGACTACTTGGTCCCACTTCAGCTTATGCTGCCATGAGAAATTCCACTCTGGCTTCAGCAGAATCTCAGAATTCTGACAAAGCCCCAAGTCCCTGCTATGGGTAGAAGGGACATTGTACCAGAGCGGGGGTGGCAGTCCCTTTCACTGTCCTGGGGCTACTTTCAGCCTCCACTGGCTGCTTTTATCTCTATCCACTTCTCCCTAGCTTACCCCATGAACTCAGTTCTGCTCACAGAGGCTGGTGTGCAAGCATCTCTGATTTTGAACCCAAAGGAAAGGCCCAAATATATAGGTAGGGTTTACTGGGAGCCCCTAATTTACCTGATCAGCTATGCACCAGTTCACCCAGTGACACACTAGCACACAGGTCTGTTTCCAAACATATATAGCTGCATTCTCCAGATATAGACTTGTGCATCTCATCTCCCATGCAGTCCATCTGCCCTGCTATGCTGGGGCCCTCTGGCTTCCATCTCTGCCCCACCTTCTCATGGTCACCATAGCCTTCCTTGGGTTTGTCCAAGGTCTGTCCCTGTGGCATCAAACTATCTTCTCCCCATACTCTCTGCCTCTGTCACATCTTCTGAGCCCCACACCCTACCCCTTGCATCCCTGAAGTTTCTGGGCTCCAAACAGCCTGTCCCTGTCTCTGTGGGTGAGGCCCTGCTCCAAGTTCAAAACTTTGGGAGCTTTCCTGCCCTCTTTCAGGGGTCTTGGTCCACTCTGGCCAGCACTGGGGCTCAGGTGGACTCTTTGAGGTCCAGAGTTTTGCAGTCCTTTGTAGAACTGACTGTTCTCAGCTGAAGGCAGAACTAGGCCTTGTGCCTAGGGATCCCGAGTGCCTGGGATGGGATGTACTCACATCACTGTCGAGGGGCATTTGAGCCCCCATCCACACTGTCGGTACTCAGCCTTTACGTAGCGCTCTGCTTCCTCCTGTAGGATGCAGGTCAGGTTCCTATGTACCACATAGGCACAGAGGGACCTGGAGGGGAAAATGGCACCTCTGGAATATTTGGCCTGAGCCTGGCCCACCGCAAGGTCCCCCCCCCCACACCTGTTGGCCTCTACCAGACCCCCATATCTTTTTCATCTACACCTCTGGAAGAGTTGGCCTGAGCCTGGCCCACCGCAAGGTCCCCCCCCCACACCTGTTGGCCTCTACCAGACCCCCATATCTTTTTCATCTATTCTTGTTCCTGGAAGCCAGGACCCTTGCCCAGGGTCCAGAATCTTCTGTGTTGGGCCCAGCCCAGCTGCTGGTCTCTGATTTGAGTCCTGGAAGGGTGACTATTGAGTCAAGAGCTCTATTGAACCAGAGGTGGGGTGGCTACCCAGCCCCCCTGAGAAGCACACCCACCCAACTACTCCCTTAAGTGCCTTGTCACATCTACCCTCCTTCACTGGTTCTAAACTCCTTATTTTGGCTTTCAAGGCTTACTGAGATCCCAACTCTGTGCCTCTTTTGAAATCAGGCCTCTCCTACCACCCCCATGCAGTTTTCCAGCCCTTTCTTTGCCATTGCCTTGCTCAGGTCAATTCTTGTCCATCTCTAGGAAGCCTGCTCTGATGCTCCCAGGCTCACTGAATGTGGCTGCGGGCTGGGTACTTTCTACAATCACCTACATTTCACTGGAGTTCACATTCAGATATGAGCTGACCACTGTGCATGCCTGCCTGTTCAGCGTACAAGCCCAGGACCCGGAGTCAACAGCTCTACAGCGCAGCCACCTTGGGGCTTCCACAAAGTTACTGGGGCCAGGCTGACCTCAGAAAGGAAGGAGAGTCTACCAACAGTAGCATGGCTCCATCTACAGCCACGCAAGGCCGAGGAGAGAGAAGACATCTGATGAGGGTGGGGGGTAGCGCGTTCCAGGCGCGGACAGCCCCCTCCTCTCCCTCCACCTGGTGCTCGGCGCCCGCCCGGAGTGTGCACACTGCGCAGCTGGAAAATGTTACTTCTCTGGAAAGGTTTCCGCGGGCACTGCCAGGATCCCAGCCGCCGCGCCAGGCCCCCTTGACTGATGTTTTTGTATTTTTTTTCTCCTCTTCGCCAACCCCGCAGCCTCCCAGAGCGTGGGGCACCCTCCGGGCAGAGGCTCCGGCCCTGGCACCGCCCCCTCCGCGCCGCGCCTGGAGTACCCGGGGCCTCGACGCCCGCGCGGGTCCGGGCAGGTGGGAGTGGCGGCGTGCTACGCGGGGCCCCCCTCGCGTTCCCGCCACTGCCCGGCCCCGCGCTTACTTGTGCGGCCCCGGACGCAGCCGCGGACGCCATCCGGTCGTGTAGAGGCTGTGGCGGGAAGCACCGGGCGGCGCCGGCCGCGCGAGGAGTGGGGTGCCTTTGGCCTGCGCCCCCGAAAGCAGCGCCGTGACGGCGCACAGCCACACCGGCAGACGGCGGCCCATCGCGCTCGGGGTCCGCCCGGCCGCGCGCGGTGCCTCCCGCGGGATCCTCCACTCGGCCACTCGCGACCTCCGGAGAGCGCTCTCGGCCGCCTGCGCTGCGCGGCCGCTGTGTCCAGCCGAGTGGCCGGCGCTGCTCGCGGCTGGGGCCGCGCAGGGGAGGCGGGAGGCGGGATCTGCGCAGATTAGCATAAACTTGGGGCCAGACCCCTCCTCCGCCTCCAGCCCCCCGGCCCCAGCTCCACGCTAACGCCCGAGGGGCCGCCTGCAAACACGAGGTTAAGAAGGGAGCAGGCGACGGTGGCGGGGCACTGGGCGCTGCGCCCCGGGGGAAGCGGGGGCGAACCCAGGTTCGCGGTACTGGGCAAGAACCAGAGAAGCCTTTGAGGCAGGCCTGGCCTGGACCTGAGATGACCGTGTTTGAGGGCACACCAGCAACATTTTCTTAGCTACCTTCTTGCAGTAGGGTCCAAACTATCCACTGTGGTGCCCCAGGAGATATGATAACTGCAAATTTCCCCAACAATTTCTGCAACCTGTTAGGATGGCCAGGCTGGATTCACTGATGCTTAGGTGAGCGCTGCATCCAGCACTTATCACCGCCATCCCCCCCAAGAATTAATATTCTCTTTCTGTCTGTGTGTGGGGGGTGGGAGGATATTCGTGTCCAACAAAAGCTTTTTTTTTTTTTTTTTTTTTTGGTCTTTTTTGAGAAAAGGTCTCTTTGAGCGCCAGTTGACAAGGAACTCACTATGTAGATCAGGCTGGCCTCTGATCCGCTTTGCCTCCACCTCCCAAGTGCTGGGATTAAAGGCATGTGCCACTACACCTAGCCAACAAAAGCTTTTAGTCAATAGGTCCACGGATCTGGTTCATTATTAGCTTCTAGTCAAAGAAAATCATTAGAACATGCTCCTAAGGAGCTATGTGCAGGTAAGGCAGGCTTCCTGTATATTTCACGGATAAAACGGACTCTTGTAATCTCAGAGTTGGTCTATATAGTCATTCTCTTTTTTTTTTATTTTTATTTTATGTGTATAAGTGTATTGCCCGCATGTGTGTTAGTATACCCATACCATGCAGTGCCTGCAGAGGACAGAAAAGGATCCCCTGGAACTGGAGAGTTACAGTTATTAGCTGCCATGTGGGTGCTGAGATTCATTGAACCTGGGTCCTCTTCAAGAACAGCCAGTGCTCTTAACCACTGAGCCATCTCTCCAGTATTCTTATTGGATATCATCTGCTAACATTCTAGCCTGCATCCTGATTGTCATCCAATAGCGGACCACTTCTTTCTGGCTTTGTCTCTTTCACATAGGTGACCATAGCCATCTGAATCTGCACTCTAGTGTGGCTGGCAGATGTGTAGAAGGCACAGGACTCCAGGGCCTGCCTAGAATATCTCTCTCTCTCTCTCTCTCTCTCTCTCTCTCTCTCTCTCTCTC